GTAGCGGCATCCGGCGAGGTAGTATTGCCGGGGACGATGCAATTATTGGGGGTGCATCGTTACATACATACACAAAAGCAATTAAAATATCTCACTTTTTTCTTCGGCATGTAAAATCCAACTGGCAGTTTAAGATCATCCCTGCTTTCTTTATCAGTTGTAGGTTTAATAATTCTTATTGTTGGAGTCTCTTTCAGATGTGCCGATCCGACTTTTTCTTTTTCCAATTGATATGTCAGCGCAATTACCTTGAGGTCAGTAGCAGATAGGCTGATATAATCGCCACTCTTCTTTGAAAATTCGGTCACTGGAAATGCATTAAACAAATATTATAGTACACACGCACGCTCGCATGCAGGGTACGCAATTTTTGGCAAAGAGTTTTTGTGTAGAGTAGACTAAACTGAGTCGAAAAATCCTATATCATTTTACAATTTTCGAAATAATTAACGATATATTAATTTATGAAAATAGTCAACTTCGCCCAGCCTACCGCGAAATGCAAGCGGGTAACAAGATGAGACCGTCCAATGAGGCGCGCATTTGCCGTCATTAAGGGTGCGATTACATGGAGCGCGGAAATGCGAAAACGCGGAGGACAAAATTAACTAAACTTTACTAAATTTCCCGCCCTTCCGCGCGTTCTGTTACGCCTATTTTTGGCTGCGATCGATTTGGACGCTCACGCGCTTTAAGCGCTTGTAACCATCACTCTGTCTTTATCGCATTCACTAGACGTAAAATAAGAATAGAAGTATTGAAAAGTGCTGAAAGTGTCCAAACCGACTGCAGCCAATATTTCATAATATTACATTGAGCACAATTTGAACAGAAAAGCAGAACGGGAAATTATAAATTATAAATTTTTAACGGAATTTATTGATTAAAATGCTTGTATTCAATACATAAGCTGAAAAAATAAGCAGATTAATAAAAATTGCAATGGATTAAGTAAATACAATTTTTTTTAATGATTACAAAAGTGTATTTGTCACTATACCGTTTCACTTTTCCGCGGAAATTGCGCTCATGTAATATTAGGAGATAAAAACAAGCGGAACAGAACGCACGGAAAGACGGAAAATTTAGTAAAATTTAGTCAATTTTGTCTTCCACGTTTCCGCATTTCCGCGCTCCATGTAATCGCACCCTGAGGGTACTTACTCATGCAGTGGAATAGCGTAACGCGAAACGAGACCAGAATCAATCACAAGCGTTCCGCACCAACTGCAATTGGTTTGTGACTGGTTGTTCTGTTCTCGTTCTGCGTTACGCTATTCCGCTGCATGGGTAAGCACCTTGAGGTTGATGTCACATTGAGCGGTTCATGCGGCAGCGGAACAAAATTCAACCAATCGTAAAGTATTAATAGAAACAGATATCGTGCAGAAAATATAACAGTACTTCGTGATTGGTTGAATTTTGTTCCGCTGCCGCATGAACCGCTCAATGTGACATAGGCCTAAGGGTACTATTACATGAAGCGCGGAAATGCAGAAGACTAAATTAACTAAACTTTACTAAATTTCCGCGTTTCCGCTCGTTCTATTCCGCTTGTTTTCTCTTAATATTACATGAAGCACAATTTAAGCGGAAAAGCGAAACGGAGAATTAGAAATTATTAATTTTTAAGTATTTATTGATTAAAATGCTTGTGTTCAGTACATAAACTGAAAAGATAAGCATATTAATAAAAATTATAATGAATTAAGTGAATACAATTTTTTTAAATGAATACAAAAGTGTATTTGTCACTATACCGTTCCGTTTTTCCGCAAAAATTGTGCTCAATGTAATATTAGGAGATCGAAACTATCAAAGAGTAAAGAGAAACAGGAGAGAATGTTTGGTTCTAAGCGGACGGAAGTGACTATATATATATATTAGCATAAAAAGTGGACGCTTAAGATGGCTGCCATGACATACATCTATCCGCGGATTTAGCTACCCCACTATTAATGTTTTTTCGTTATGCAACCAGAAGCAACCACGGCTAAGGCTATCTTGGTCTTTTGATTTCTGAAGGCGAAGATAGTCTTAGCTGTTGAAGCTTCTGGTGAGATAACAAAAACATCCCTGTTTCTCTTCACTCTTTGAATATACATTAGTATACATACGATAGAGTATAACCTCCAAAATATAAAATTCTTATTATTACTAACCGATGAAAGGTTATCCCATAATTTCGAGCTGAAGTTGTTACACCACACGCCCGGCAATGCACTATGGTGCTCTTTACAATATTTATTAATAATGAACTGTTTTGTTGCTCAAGATCTTTTTCCTGTATAAAACTGTATAAAAAAGTGGACGCTTAAGATGGCTGCCATGACGTACATCCGTTCGTGGATTTAGCTATCACCACTATTGATACATTCCCTCCTGTTTCTCTTTACTCTTTGGAAACCATAGACATAATAAGAATAGACCCCTCCTCCACTTTTTCCTCGTCAAAAAAAGAAAGCTACACGGCATCCTAGGGTTGGGTTTGATACGTATGCAACGTATGAATGTGTATCATACGTAGAATACGTATCAAATTTGAATGGCCTAGTTTACACCGAATACTTGATACACGTATTAGGTACCATATCCATATGAAATCACTTGATACGCTTGGTATAAACGCTAGAGGATTACTTTAGTCTGGTACTCCCGATCACGAGTATCAACCAAGTTGGTACACGTATCAAAGTTTCTAGTGCGCTGTAAACGCTTGATTCGTTTAGGACTAAAAATCCGCTATTTGTAAGTTAAGGTTAAGAGATTGAAATACGACGAAGAAAAACCAAAAAAGAAAAAGAAGGTTACATTAAAATAAAAGTTTATATCTCGACAGTGAAAATCGTATTCTTATCGTATTCTTGAAACGATTCCTTTTGACTTCTTGCTACATATTTAAAATTTGGAATAACGGTATAAATGATGTAATTGCAACTTCTTCCATTATTCTTCCACAATTAATTGCTTAGACGAAAACAGAGATTTAGGATCAGTGACCATAAACCAATAGTCACTCACAATTTTTTATCATTTATTAATACAAATTGTTAAGTTGAGACTTTATCCGAACCAAAAACCTAACTTAACCTGTTTTTAGACAAGTGGGTGTAAACAGGGACGTATTAAATGCTTAGTCCGCACCAACTTGATACGCGTGCTAATTGATTTAACGGTGTAAAGGGGGTCGATGATACCTTTAACATAATCCTAACCTCTAATTTATTAATCTTATTGGCTGAAACTTAATTCTGCTTCCGCGTTTACTGTTCAATAGGACATAAGAGAAAGAAAATAAACGGAATCGTAGGCTGCGGATTAATATCTGCATTCATATTTACAGTAATTGTCGAATTATCAACATTCTGCTACTGTGTTCATATTAATGAAGAAGACAAAAAACAGTATGTAACCAATCGCATTATATGGTTAATGGCTGTAATATACATCGACAGCATATAATATTGAGGTTATGTGCTGCAACTTTCGTTCATTCTGTAAATTGTGTAATGGTGAAATTGTAGCGAGAATAGCGGACTGTGATTCGTCGTATTGATTTTTGACAATTGGAGCATTTTTAGCATTTTCGTCCGCCATTTTGAATCCGCCATTTTAAATTTCTAAATTTTGAGTTCAGATCCGAAATCAGCGACCCCCAAAACCCTTAAATACCGAGTTTTATGCCAATCCATCAACATTTTGAATTTTGGCCAAGATTTCGGGACGTCTGGCCCACTGTGCGATGGCTAAAATTTTGCACTAAAAATTTATTTCTACGTAAAAATGAAAAGAGGTACAACCTCCAATTACCTTGATCTTGACAAATGTTATCCAGATCATGATCCTGAACATTCAAAAAGTTTTGTGTGTGTGTGTGTGTGTGTGTGTGTGTGTGCGCGCGCGTGCGTGTGTGTGTATGTTTGTCAATTGACTATTTTGACGACATTTGCAAACCATCATGTTTTATTGCATACAAAGGTACATTGATGTTCTGACGTATATATCACACTTCTTTTTTATATAAAATACATCAATACGTATATATGTATAAAGAATTTTCTATAGATTGATTAGTTCAGCGACAGGATCGAATGTACGTACAAATGTATTCTATAAATTGACTATTATGGCGACTGTCGTCATAACAGTCAATTTATAGAATACATTTGTACGTACATTTGGTCCTGTTGCTGAACTAATCAATCGATAGAAAATTCTTTATATATACATATTGACGTATTTTATCTAAAAAAGAAGTGTGATATATACGTCAGAATACCATTGTATACCTTTGTATGCAATAAAATGAGTTTTCTGATTTGAGGAAATTTTTTATATACATATATGCGGTAAGTCGCCATAATAGTCAATTGGTAGAATGTATTTGTACGTACATTCGTTCTGTCGCTAAACTAATCAATCTATAGAAAATTCTTTATACAAACGTATTAGCATATTTCATTATAGAAGAAATGTGATATATACGACAGGATATCGCAATATACATCGTATGCTATATCTATGCGTTTCGCGGGTTGTCTCCGTGTCCAAATCAATTCTTAGAATGTCAACGTTTTATGAACTATTTCTATGTAGAAATGAAAATAAGCTGAACAACCTCCAATGGTCTTAAGGGGATGCTGGAGTGGCCAAATTGTCGGTAATTTGCAGGTCAATTTACATCTCCGAATTTACTTAATGAAATCAAAAATCCTTTTACAGGGTTATAATAGATGCAAAATTCTGTCGTGGTGCAATAGATTTGTACGAAAATCGGAAAAAAAGTTAAAAACTTACATTTTTTCAATACGTAGAGCTGTCAACTGATGATTACAAAAATTTTATAGCCCGTATGGACCAAACGATACTCTACCACTCACCGCATAACGTGCACAAACAATACTGAGTTTACAGAATTGAGATTGAAAGCTTAGAAAAAAATATTTACATTAATTTATAAATCACGTAAATTTGCTTGTCAACGAAGACTCGGGCTGATAAATAGACCAGGAAATGTGTGTATAATAGAAGTTGCTCGATTTTCTGGGAGATGGCGTTGTATTCAGACAAGGCCCCGCTGATCTGAGTGCGTTCGGAAAGAAACAATAGATCTGTTACGATAAACTATCTGAATTAACTTATTGCACCGTATGCAATAATTCTAAGAATTGTTCGATAAAGAACAAACTATTGTCAGATTTAACAGTACTTGTACATGTTCTTATCTGATGCTGAACAAACATAAACTACGTTTACACGGCTCGATTTACGCCGAAGTTGTAACATCGATGTTATGAATCTGACCAA